CCAGTTTGTGAAGTGAAGCTGTTTGAGATTTCCAAATAAACTGAACCTACTTTACTTTCTAATCCAACATGAGAGTGGGATTTCTCTGTGAGGGAAACAATACCTGAAGTGGTTGAACATGAAATGCCAGAGGCTATTTTGACCCCAGGTACTTAATCAGCCTGGAAACTGCTCAGTGAAAGTGATACACTGAACATTCCACAGTCAATTGGAAGAGACAAAGGAAACTTTTGTCCTCTTCTATCTCCAAACACTGTAGTTTGATAGATTTCTTGAAAAATTAGTTTATTGTACATATTTTCTCTTATTAATTGATCATAGAGTTGCACAAGCCTGAAAAAGTGGAGTCACAGAAACATAGAAGATAGGAGCAGGAGGAGGCCATTCAGCCCTTTGAGCCTGCTCTGCCATTCATCATGATCCTGGCTGATCGTCCAACCCAACAGCCTAATCCTGCTTTCTCCCCATAACCTTTGATCCCATTTGCCCCCAAGTGCTATATCTAGTCACCTCTTGAATATATTCAATGTTTTGGCATCAACCACTTCCTGTGGTAATGAATTCCACAGGCTCACCACTCTTTGGGTGAAGAAATGTCTCCTCATCTCCGAACTAAATGGTCTATCCCGAATCTTCTTACTGTGATCCCTGGTTCTGGACACATCCACCATCGGGAATATCCTCCCTGCATTTACCCAATTAGTCCTGTTAGAATTTTAAAAATCTGTATGAGATCCCCCCTCATTCGTCTGAACTCAGCAAAAACAATCCTAACTTAGTCAATCTCTCCTCAGACATCAGACCCACCATCCCCTGAATCAGCCTGGTAAACCTTCACTGCACTCCCTCAAGAGCAAGAGCATCCTTCCTCAGAAATGGAGACCAAAACTGCACACAATATTCTAGGCATGGCCTCACCAAGGCCCTTCATAACTGCAAAACCACGTCCCTGCTCCTGTACTCAAAACCTCTCACAATGAAGGCCAACATACCATTTGCCTTCTTTACCGCCTGCTGCACCTACATGTTTACCTTCAGCGACTGGTGCACAAGGACACCCAGGTCCTGCTGCACACTCCCCTCTCCCAAATTACAGCCATTCAGATAGTAATCAGCCTTCTTGTTTTTGTTTCCAAAGTGAATAACCTCACATTTATCCAAACTATACTGCATCTGTTATTGATTTGCCTTCTCACCCAACCTGTTGAGATCATGCTGAAGGATCTCTGCGTCCTCGTCACAGTTCACCCTCCCACCCAACTTGATATCATCTGCAAACTTGGAGATGTTATATTTTGTTCCCTCATTCAAATCATTAATATAGAGTTTGATGGCACAGAAAGAGGCCATGCATTCAATTGGTCCAACAAGTCTGCACTGGTTAAAAAACACCTATCCACTGTAACAAAAACAGAAGTTGCTGGAAAAGCTCAGCAGGTCTGGCAGCATCTGTGAAGAAAAAAATCAGAGTTAATGTTTCGGGTCCGGTGACCCTTCCTCAGGTTAAGAATATATGAATTGCTCTTTGGCTTGACGGTGAATAGATTGTGAAGTGTTGGGAATGTTTAAGGGTAATGATTCTGGTAGCTCTTACTTTGGCAGTTGAGTAGTTGTTTGAAGATGTTGTCATGGTTCCTGATGCCCAACATCTTTGACCAGTGACTTTGTGGGCTTGGTTTGTCTTGATCAATTGGAGAGAGAGAGAGACTTTATTTCTTTTTACCTGCAGTCACGGGGCTATCTAGTGGATGTTCTGAGCTGTGTTGCTCCTCAGCACATGTTACCGCAGAGGAACTCGGTTCCACACTAACATACTAGCCCTCCAGCATACAGAAGGTAGGAGCTGTAATTGGTTTTTAGCCCCCTTGTTTTATATTCCTGGAAGGTTTGAACACAAAGACATCTTTTGCCCTGAGCTGCCTTTTTTCAACTTATTCTATCAGCAATCTGAGACACAGCCCAGAGGAGATTACAATTTGCATGTTTTTCATGGGATCTCTCTCTTTCAAGTGTTGCTGCCTTGGATTGGTTCTAAGTGCTATTTTGTCACGGAAAAAACAAGAAGAAAGAAAGAGCAGTTGGACTGAGACCTGCAAAAACCTCCAGGCAAGGGAGATTGTGCTCTCTCTCCTCCTCCATGAGTGAAAAAAATTGACACTATAAAACCTTGAAAAGAGAAAAAGAATCTAACTCAAGCCAAGATCTAAGTCCAACTGAAAAGTTACCAAATTGAGGATCACTGTCGTCAAGAACAACATGATATCATCACCAAATAAACAAAAAAGAACTGTGACAAAATTTTCTTCCTTGTGGTTTGGACTCTTGATCCATTGACTTTGTTTTTGCCAGTATATTCCACCCATGATATTCAGCAAAACTGTGTCACATCTCTTTTGTCTGTTTGTGAATTCATGTGTGTGTGTGTTTGAATTTAAAGAATGTGTAATTTAAGTCTCCATATTAGTAATTAATAGTCCATTTTGCCACGTATTAGAGGATATGATTATTATTATAAATAAGATTAGTTTTCTTGTTCATTGATGAAACCTGGCATGATTTTCTTTTATCTTAGATGTTGGTCACATTCACGCAATAAGCATCTGAATGATTACATTGGTCATATTTCACATTTGTGATTAATTCTGGGACTTTATTTCCTGTGCACTGATCCCATCAGTGTCGTGGCAACTGAAACCAAAGTTAATGGCTTACTGTCAAAAACAGTATAAACATGTTTCCATTAACACAGGGACCTGGTTTCTGACAAAATGCTGGACTTGGTCAGAAGGACTCTCTGAGAGGAGAAAGATTTAAAAAAGACATGAGGGGCAAATTTTTTACACAGAGGGTGATTGTTATGTGGAATCAACTTCCTGAGGAAGTGTTGGATGTGGGTACAATTACAACTTTTAAAAGACATTTGGATAAGTACATGAATAGGAAAGGTTTGGAGGGATATGGGCCAGGAGCAGACAAGAGGGACTGGTTTAGTTTGGGATTATGTTCTGCACAGATAATTGGACCAAAGGGTCTGTTTCTGTGCTTTATGACTCTATGACTTTAAGTAACCCAGCTATCTCTATTTTAACATCCAATTTTCAAAAATAATATTTCCATATAATTATGCTTCTGTCATCACATAATGTGCTATACAACTCACCCATGACTTTTGCATCCACGATAGTCCCTACTGCCCTCAGTCTGCTGGAAGGTATCATACTCATCAGAATGAAACGTCTACTGGAAAATGAACTCAGGTATCTTTCTCATCTTTAAGTGATTTCAGCCTCCATTGCAGCTCATCATGTTCTCTTTCCAGTTGAGTTCACCAACCTTCTTATCCTCCTTAAATTTCTCCCTGACCCATATTCACTGTCATCTCTGAGCTTGTCATCTCCCTTGCTGACCTAATCGTAATAATTAGCGAAAAGACCATCTCTGATCATGCGCTCATTGATCCTCACCTGAATTGTCCTTCCTTGTTCCAACCCAACAGTATTCCTAATCCTCTGGGGTAGAAAATTCACAGCCCGTTGAGTCAAGTAACTTGTCATCTCAGTCCTAAATAAGCACCTGCTCTTTCCTCAGACTGCATTTCCTTTTTCTGGACTTTCCAGAATCCAGGTGAAACAGTGTCAAAACTTCTATCCTGACAAACCTCTGAAGATGGTCTGGCAGCATCTGTGAAGAAAAAATCAGAGTTAACGTTTCGGGTTCGGTGACCCTTCCTCAGAACTGAGGAAGCATCACTAGACCCGAAATGTTAACTTTTTTTTCTTCACAGATGCTGCCAGACCTACTGAGCTTTTCCAGCAACTTCTGTTTTTGTTTCTGATTTACAGCATCCACAGTTCTTTCGGTTTTTAAGCCTCTGAAGATGTTTATGTTTGAACAAGATCAGCCCTCACTTTTCAAAACCCCAACTCAGCACAAAGAAAATAGTAAGAACAATAAACAGTAATAGTTAGAAATGAATGTACTCGACCTGTTTTGAAGTATACAAGATAGCTGGGCTAGTCTCACTCACCAGTTTTACTGTTTTTTTCCTTCTGGAAGGGCAGCTTGGTGGCTCAGTGGTTAGCACTGCTGCCTCACAGCACCAGGGACCTGGTTCAATCCTATCCTTAGGCAACTGTGTGGAGTTTGCATATTCTCCCCATGTCTGTGTGGGTTAGGTGGATTTGCCAAGCTAAATTGCCCACAGTGTGCAGGAGAGGCGAATTAGCTATGAGAAATGCAGGGTGACAGGGATAGGGGAGTGGCTCCAAGTGGGATGCTCTTCAGAGGGGTCAGTCTGGGCTTGAAGGGCTGAATAACCTCCTGCTACTGCAGGGATTCTATGAAGGGAATAGACCTCATCTACTCAGGCACTCCTCACAGGCAAAACTCCTTTTCATGATTCATGAGCCAATCATTCTGCTCTACCTGAAACAAATAGATTCTTCCTGAGGTAGGGAAACGAAAACTATACACAATGCGCCAGGCCAGATTCTATGGACTGATTCTGTACGCATTTGTGCAAACTCATCTCAAAGTTATTTTTTTTTTAGAAGTGTGTATTGGAAAATTCCAGCGCATTACACAGCCAGTGATGCAAATATATCTCTTAAAATTCATTTACAGCATGTGAGTGTCACTGGCTAGGCCAGGTTTTATTGCCTACCCTAACTGCCCTGAAGGAGGTGGTAATGAGCTGTTTTCTTGAACCACTGTAGTCCATGTGGTGTTGGATATTCCTCAGTGCCATTAGGGAGGGAGTTTCAGGATTCACTTGCGTCATTCATTAAACAAAATCGGTGGTACATTTTCACATTAAAGGTACAGTGTAAATGACATTATAAACAGATAATCCCCAGGCTGTTATGTTAAGGCTTAGTCGATACGAGATGAAACAGATTTTGATCGTAATCAATGACCTGTGAGGGGATCAAAAAAAAATGTCATCTTAACATCAAACAAGTCCCTTCTATTTGTTAATTATATTCTGTTTGTGCTCATAGGTCGGGAACGTTTATCCGAATGTCTGGGAATCTCTGCAGGCCAAGCTAGTCAATTCATTGAAAGCTTCCTACAGAAGTACAAGGAAGTCCGCACTTTCACTCAGAGGACCATACAACATTGCCAGCAGCAAGGTATACTTTCATAGGTACGGGTTGAGCTGGTAGGACTGCTTCATTTGGTGGGTTTTTGAATTATATCAGTGCCTACGTCTCCACAGGGATTTTCCATGTAACGTTCAGGCTTCAGGCTTCACCCAGTTGGGCCCTGCTTGCTTGAATAATAATTCTGATGATTGAAAGGGGCCAGGCAGCTTTCAGCACTTGGTCAGGTCCCCACGGCAACCATTGCTACAGAGCTTACAACTGCAAGGCTTCGGCTTGTCATCTCACTGGGGATGATGGTTTAAGGAGCTCTGACCTTGAGCATCATTCGGTGCTGCTGCTGCTAATTCCTGTTCGAGCTGATGCAGACCCCACTCACTGTTACTGAGATTATCTGTCCTGTGGCACCTTCCTACCCATCATCCTTCTGAAGTTCCCTTATCCATTTCAATTCAGCTTTCAATCTCTCAATTCCATCACCAGTCAACTCCTTCCGGCCAACTCTCCTTCCTGGCCCCAGGATAGCTGATAATTATCAATGGTTTTCTTTCACCAGACATTGTTAGCCTGCTATTCAAAACCCCTGTCTCCGAAATTTCAGGCTTGACTCAGCCAAGCTGCGGACTTATCTCTAACTTCCCTCTCCTTGTTTAGGCCCTCAGTCTTGCCATTGCCACCAAACTGTATGCTCCTCATCCCTGACATAGAACATTGAACATAGAACAGTACAGCACAGTACAGGCCATTCGGCCCACGATATTGTGCCGATCTTTTACCCTAATCCTAAGGTCTATCTAACCTCCACCCCTACCTTATACTATCATCCATATGCCTATCTAATAGCCGCTTAAATGCCCCTCATGAGGCCGACTCCACTACCCTCTCTGGTAATGCATTCCACGCCCCAACTAATCTCTGAGTAAAGAACCTACCTCTGACGTCTCCCCTATATCTACCTCCACTCACTTTAAAACTATGCCCCCTA